CCAAACTGAGCATGTGCAGCTTGCCCCTAAGGCTCTGTAGTATCATCAGAGGGATTGGGGACAGTAGGGGAGGATTAGAGAAAAAAGGATCAAACAGCGATTTTACACAATACAGAGAATTAACCCCTTAGGTTCCACAGTGAGTATATCAAGCATACTGTATACACAGACTGATTTTACTGTTGTTGGATTAGTAACACTTTAAATCTTCCTTTTAAGGGCTTTTCTTGCCCACTTTTATTAATACAAAGTTCCAGTTGAACTCATCGGTTTCCCTCGCAGGATTTTTTCAGTATTTCTCTCACATAATAAATGTTCATCACACTTGCAGTGCAGCAGCTCTGACCTCAATACTCAGGCCCTTCAGGTCTTCTTACATAAACTCAATGCACACAGCCAGCAGCTCTCTGCTGCACTGGCTTCCACCTGTCTCCTAGGTGGACCCCTCCGGACTTCTGGGCTAAGACCTCCTCTGTCCGCTGTGGTGGAACCCTAAACCATAGTTAAGCCTCTAATAAAAGCCCTGTACACACCTGCACAATCAGTGTGCTGGACTCAGGATTGGACACGTAATCCCTCCAAAGCAGGGGCAGACTGACTATTTGGAAACTCGGGCACTGCCCGAGGGCCTGGGGTCAGAAGCGGGCCCCATGAGATGCCCCTGGTACCATTCATAGGCTTTTTTGGGTGTGGTTTTAGTGTGGGCAAGGACACAGGGGCCCCATGATCCCTTATTGCCCGGGGGCCCCATGAGTTGTCAGTCCGCCCTTGCTCCAAAGTCTCTATGCAGACTTGGACTCCAGGTCCCAAACCTCCAGCCTATGATGAAACTGAAAATCCAGTTTCCTCTGTATGAGATAAGCACCCTAAAACTCTTTAACCTGCATAGGTTACACAGCACTGTCACACATTCTTTATTAACTATTAGGGGCCATTTTCATCCTTGCATTGTGGTGACAAATGCATTACCACAATGCACAGCTACGCACCTAACTTGCATTGTAGTGCCACTCTTTTTGAAGTCCCAATACACAAATGGATGGTAGTGCATTATGGTATATTGCATTAGAAAAAATTTGCCACATCCAATTTTTGACACGTTCTAGGTGCATTGTCAGTCCCTTATTTTCAAAAGGCTGCCTTCACGCAACATAGATTAATCTATCACATAATGTGAGTTAATGCACCACAAAAATGTAAATAGGACATTAAACACATGCAATCCATCCATTTTTTATACTTTCCCACCTCAGTTTTTTTTTTGCAAACAGTGGCATGTTACTGTTTAATAGTTCTCCCCATCCGTATTTCAGTATTTCATTAACATACTTGATTGAAACCAATTAATATGTAGTCCATTACATTTTGCAGCCATAAGGACAGTGGAAATGAATGTGCCATTGATGACCTTCTCTTGCTCACATGAGACCAATGTCAATGTCAATCTGCCTAAAGCAGTCATATAAAACCAAGAAAATGGTAACCTACCCAAAATGGGCTTTATTTTTTTCTGGAAAATCAACAATGCCAAAAATGACAAACAAAAAGAATGTGATATTAATTACGTTGTCAACAGTAGATTAGCTTTTCAGCCACATTTTATTGTAATAATCAATTGAAATGCTGCCAAGATGTACTGGAAAGTTACATGACATGAATGCATTATATTAACTTACAGAGAAAATAAGAGCTCAAGTGCCTTCACAAACACATCAAAGGTCTTCTTAAGTCTGTTTCATGACCTGCTAATGTCCATGCCTAGAAATAGCTCAGTGGAATAGAGATGGTAGTGCCCTCTCCAAAGCTACTCTAGGCTAAGATCTACTTCGGGCTTTAAAAGTCCCTACAGCTCTGTCATTTCTCATCTTATTCCCAGCTGTCCATGTTTTCGTCTCTTTATTCAGTACAATGTTTTCTGGTTTGTACTTGATGTTGATGTTTATTGATAGACAGATCAACAGAGTTGCCTGTGGTTTTGAGGCCTGCACACCACATTTATTATTTACAGCTGGATTGTTCAGACAAATGATAGTTAATAGAACACTTAGAGATTCATACATTCTTACCTGTTTTGGGTCAAGGGTTAAAGACTGTAGCATATGTCATATACTGTGCCTTCAAAAAAAAAAAAAGGCTTAATTATTGAGGCACGACAATGTGCTACAATGACTTACAAAATGCAGTAACCCACATTAAATCACAGAGTTTACTGCAGACAAATTTTCTATACTGTATATGGTTAAATGACTGATGGGGAAATTGTGTATTTCATATTTCCTTATTAGAGTTGGCTTCACAAATATCTAAGAAAGCCTCTATTAACCTGGTTAACCTGTTTACCTTAAATTACGTCATGCTATAGGAATGTCGGTGTAAACTGACTATATGGACAAGCCAGCCCATTAATCTCCTTTGAGGAATATGTCATTTTCCTTAGAAGGTCTTGCAAAGAGAGTTGGCTGCGGGTTGGTCATTCTTTACACACAAATCCTATGTACTACAGTAGTGGCTTGTAATATTCAGTCTCGTTTTCAGAGCTTGCTATCATGCATGCGTCTGTGATCATCTGCCACGCCATGAAAACGGGGGACTCTAGTGAAATAGCATCTTTAGTTAAGTATTATTGTTAAGTTTTCTAATATTTTATGTTATTAATTTTAATAAAGGTTATAAGTATTTGTGTGATCTCTCTTTGCGCATATTGAATACAACCCCAAAAACCATCAATGATCACGCGACCGTGACAAAACAATGACATCTTTCATTGGTTTCCTGAGCAGATATCTGCATTAGGCCTCATGCACACTGGTTAACCCTTCACCTCAGATTCCAGCATTTTCGTGCAACTGGAAGGCATAGGTGCACCATCCTGTCCTGCTGATGGTGGGGTGTAAATGTCTATGGGAGGCTGAAAAATGCAGTGGCTAGATGGAGCTGTACGTTGACATTAGTCTCATTTACCGCCATCAGCGCCCAGGAATGAGTGCCCAGAACTGTACAAAACCACTAAACATTCAAGTAGGCATAACATACTCTTCTCCTGATCATCTCTCTGACTTACCTGAGTTTAGTCAATGAACTGTTGTAAAGGATTTGCTTACATGACAGGTAAGAGGGACAGAAAGGTATAAAGATGGTCTGGAGCAGGGTGTTTTGTACCTGATAAAACAATTCATGTTGGTAGGTCTGCATTGGTCTATTTGCAGCTTTCAAGTTCATTGCAGTGAATAGATTTTTAGTTTCACCAATCAAAAGGACAGTTCATCGCTATGTAAAAGCAGTGTTGAAAACCTAATTTCACATCTGCAGTGAATACTTTTACTGAGAATCTGATTCCCAGAGCTCAACTTAGGGTGCTGAATATGCCTTCCATTGCCAGTACTGTAAAAAATGCAAATGCATGCATTGTTTTCTCCTACAGATTTAGTTTGAACAGTACTATAGACTGGATACTGATGGGCGAGTATGTATTTATAGTGGGACTGTCAGGAATGGACTGGCCAGCAATGGTGGGACTCACCTGCCTTTTGATCTGCAGTACCAGGGCTGGCCAGCGGATGCTCCCAGCAATCAGAGACTCAACTTTGCAGCCAGCTAACACCTGGAACTGATTATGCTGGGGTATTTAAGGGATGGCCAGACCCACAGACTCTGCCTTGGTGTTGTGTTTGTCCTGGGCCCTGTATCCTGTGTCTGTCCTGCATCCTGTTTCTGAACCGCTGCTGACTTCTCCTGCTCTGATCCCGGCTCGCTCCTGACCATCCCTCTGCCTGACCCTCTGTACCACGCTGCTTGCTACCTGTTCTGATCCCTGGCTTGTGACCCTGACCATCCCTCTGCCTGACCCTCTGTACTACGCTGCTTGCTACCTGCTGACTGGCCTGTGACCCCGACCAATCTCCGCTTGCTCCCCCTGTACCTACCTGCCCTATTGATATTGACCCGGCCTGCCTGACGACGCTTGCTTGTATGTACTGTTATCTGTGGGTGGGGTTTGGTTGGTTTGGTTGCACTGTATTATGTTTTAGTATTGCACTGCGTTTATGTTTGTATTGTTAGTGTTAATAAATTATATTTTTTATAACATATCTGAGGTCTGCGTTTCCCTGCGTCAGCTACACACCTCTGGTCACACCTGGGAGCCCTGACATTACACCAAGGCCAATCCTGACCAGAAGTGGCTGCACAGGGAAGCCATCTTGGCTTGTTGCTGGGAAGGATGGATCTGGATGAGGTTGTGTATTTATATCTGCTAGTGTTTGATGACAGGGAGTATGCTTATCAAACTCTGAAGGAGTATCCCAGGGATCAACTACTAGAATGTATACGGCTCGCTCATGTTCTAGTAGATCAGGGCACAGAGTTCTCTGAGGTGCAGCCTTTGATTGAGGTTTGTGCTGAGTTGGTTTCATCTGGTTCCCCCGAATGCAGGGATGAATTTTTGCCACCATTTAGTGCAGACCAGGTAGAGTCCCTGGTGTGGTTATTAGAGGATGATGTGGGTTACTTTCTGGAGCGTTATTCCACATGTTCACCACAGACACTAAGAGATTGTATAAACGCAGTGCAGTCATTGACCAGACAGGCTTTGTGTAAGCTCAGCTTTGTTCAACCCCTACTGCAGACATGGACAGACTTGTTGCACCCAGCCTCAGTCAGCTTACAAAAACCCAGTCCTGCTTCTAACTCTACTCCTGTATTCCCACCAGCTCCTCCAGTTACAGCCCAGTATACTTGGCTATCTACCGCATGTCAGTACCCTGTTCCCACTCGCTGCACCTATCCTGCCTTTAACCCTGTAAAAAAGCCCTCTGTAGCAACTGCTCCCTCTCCTGTTCCATCCTCCAGTTTTTCTCTGTCTCCAGCTGCTCCATTCGTTTGCAGACCTGCGTTTACTTGCAGTGCTCCAGTAGTTAAAACCAGAAAAAAGCGAAAATTCTTTCCAACCAATACCATCCTGCCAGTATCCAAACCGGTGAACCTGCCTTCCGTGACTCAGCCTGAAGCCTCTACTCAGCCTGAAGCCCTGCCCTACTCAGCCTGAAGCCTCTGCCCGGAGTCCAGCCCGGTGTGAAGCCTCTGCCCGGAGTCCAGCCCGTGTGCCTCTGCCCGGAGTCCAGCCCGGTGTGCCTCTGCCCAGAGTCCAGCCCGATGTGTGTGCCTCTGCCCGGAGTCCAGCCCGTGTGCCTCTGCCCGGAGTCCAGCCCGATGTGCCTCTGCCCGGAGTCCAGCCCGATGTGCCTCTGCCCGGAGTCCAGCCCGATGTGCCTCTGCCCGGAGTCCAGCCCGATGTGCCTCTGCCCGGAGTCCAGCCCGATGTGCCTCTGCCCGGAGTCCAGCCCGATGTGCCTCTGCCCGGAGTCCAGCCCGATGTGCCTCTGCCCGGAGTCCTGCCTGATCCAGCCCGGTGTGCCTCTGCCCGGAGTCCAGCCCGATGTGCCTCTGCCCGGAGTCCAGCCCGGTGTGCCTCTGCCCGGAGTCCAGCCCGGTGTGCCTCTGCCCGGAGTCCAGCCCGGTGTGCCTCTGCCCGGAGTCCAGCCCGGTGTGCCTCTGCCCGGAGTCCAGCCCGATGTGCTTCTGCCCGGTGTGCCTCTGCCCGGTGTGCCTCTGCCCGGTGTGCCTCTGCCCGGAGTCCAGCCCGATGTGCCTCTGCCCGGTGTACCGCTGCCCGGAGTCCTGCCCGGTGTGCCAGTCTTTGATATCCCGCCAGTTACCAGACCCGGGCGGTGGAACATTTTTCCCAGCTAGGACTGTTTGGAGCGTCCTGAGGCCGCTCCTTGAGGGGGGGGGGTACTGTCAGGAATGGACTGGCCAGCAATGGTGGGACTCACCTGCCTTTTGATCTGCAGTACCAGGGCTGGCCAGCGGATGCTCCCAGCAATCAGAGACTCAACTTTGCAGCCAGCTAACACCTGGAACTGAATGATTATGCTGGGGTATTTAAGGGATGGCCAGACCCACAGACTCTGCCTTGGTGTTGTGTTTGTCCTGGGCCCTGTATCCTGTGTCTGTCCTGCATCCTGTTTCTGAACCGCTGCTGACTTCTCCTGCTCTGATCCCGGTTCGCTCCTGACCATCCCTCTGCCTGACCCTCTGTACCACGCTGCTTGCTACCTGTTCTGATCCCTGGCTTGTGACCCTGACCATCCCTCTGCCTGACCCTCTGTACTACGCTGCTTGCTACCTGCTGAACCTGGCCTGTGACCCCGACCAATCTCCGCTTGCTCCCCCTGTACCTACCTGCCCTATTGATATTGACCCGGCCTGCCTGACGACGCTTGCTTGTATGTACTGTTATCTGTGGATGGTGGTTTGGTTTGGTTTGGTTGCACTGTATTATGTTTTAGTATTGCACTGCGTTTATGTTTGTATTGTTAGTGTTAAAAAATTATATTGTTTATAACATATCTGAGGTCTGCATTTCCCTGCGTCAGCTACACACCTCTGGTCACACCTGGGAGCCCTGACAGGGACTGTGATGGGCAATCCGTCTTTAACTTCTAATGGGTGTGAACTAACTACCACTGACATCTCCTGTGTGTCAACACAGGACTCTGGGCTGTGATTGGACACAGCCAATCTATAGGTCCCAGCCAATGACTCAACTCTGCTGAAAATGTCATGAGCGCTCAGTACTCAAATGAGGCCAGCCTGGCCTGTGTGGGCCGCCTATCTTCAGTACATTGTGGGCGGTCCACAAGTGGATAAAAGAGTTCCTTGGTCACAACATACGCTTTCATGTATTTATAGTGGGACTGTGATGGGCAATCCGACACCAACTGACACTGGGTGTGAACTAACTGCCACTGACATCTTCTATGACACTACTACAGTGATCAGTGATAATACTATACACTGTCACTGTACTAGTGATATTGGCTTAGAAGGGGTTAACATCTGGGGTAATCAAGGGGTTAAGTGTGTGCCTAACAAGTGTTAATTTGTGTACTGTGTGCTGCTTTTTACTAATGATCTCTTTGTTTCTTCTCCCTGCTTTGCCAGGAGAAGGAACAGAGAGACCACTTCCTCTGTATAACAGTCCTGTGTGTCAACACAGGACTCTGGGCTGTGATTCGACACAGCCAATCTATAGGTCCTGGCCAATGACTCAACTCTGCTGAAAAACCCATGTGCACTCAATACCCAAAAGAGGCCAACCTGGCCTGTGTGGGCCGCCTGTCTGCAGTACATTGCGGATGGGCGGTCCACAAGTGGTTAAAAGAGTTCCTTGGTCACAACATACACTTTCATGTATGTATTGTGGGACTGTGATGGGCAACCCAACACTAACTGATACTGTGTCTGAACTAACTGCCACTGACATCTCCAGTGATACTACTACAGTGATCAGTAATAATACTATACACTGCCACTGTACTAATGATATTGGCTTAGAAGGGGTTAACAACTGGGGGTAATCAAGGGGTTAAGTGTGTGCCTAACAAGTGTTAATTTATGTGATGTGTGCTGCTTTTTACTAAGATCTCTTTGTTTCTTCTCCCTGCTTTGCCTGGAGAAGAAACAAAGAGGCCACTCTCTCTGTACAGAGCCCTGTGTTGATTGTCAACACAGGACTCTGGGCTGTGATTGGACACAGCCGATCAACAGATCCCGGCCAATGACTCAACTCTGCTGAAAAACTTGTGCGTCACTGTGTACCCAGAAGAAGCCAGCCTGCAGTACATTGTGGGTGGGCAGCCCACAAGTGGTAAAAGAGTTTCTTGGTCAAAAAAATGCGCTTTCACTTTATAACATCAGCATTGTAACAACAATAAAAAACAATAGTTACATTTCACAATTCCATATAATCTTACTTAAAAATCTCCTTTCATGCTGTGAGTGCTGCCTGTCTGCTGGCCATCTCTTTCCACAACTTCCTAGATTCTCTGCATGCTTTTCAGTTTCTCCTCCACTGATTACGTTCAATTTCTAAGGACTACATATCACATGGTTCCTTGCTGCCTGCAAGCAGTGATTCCTGTACTGACTCTGCCTTCTGAAACTCCTCCTCTCAGCACCTTTGTAGTTCACAAGACAGGCTCTGTGAAATGTGCGACACAGCAGTGCCTACTAACAGGACATAATGAAAATGTGTCATAGAATTCAAAGAAATAAATGTGTGAGGTCTTCACAAAGTAAGTTTACATACTTCAAGACTGTCCAAATTAATACGAGTAGACTAGAAATAATTGAAATACAATGTGGAAATGAACATTTTACATTTTGACCATAGATACACTTTAAATTGTGCCTTAAAAACATCTCTTTCTCAGCAATCCTCTCTTAACATAGTACAACGCCTCTCACAGCTATATCTACTTCTAAGGGTTCACTTTACTCCTGTTAGGCTGTTCCGTATGGGGGTGCGGGCCGATCCTATGTAGAGATTTAATACATATAGAGATGTAATACCATATGCTATAGAGATGTCCGAAACTACATCGCTATTGGACGGAGGTTTTGGCCACCATCCATAGGGTTTTCCAGTTGTAAATACTGGAAGACCCCAAATATTGTCTTTTGGGTATTTTGAATGATCTTGCGATTGAGAATATTCCCATGCAGGCAGTAGCTAAAGCCCTTTTTCAGGCACGCATACAGATTCTGCAACATTGGGTATCTACGGATCCCCCCATGCTGAAGGAATGGATCTCCCAAATGGGCGAGACTATTCGGCTTGAAAAATATATTTGCCAGCATAGACGTTGTAGTGGTAAATTTGACAAGCTATGGGCCCCTTGGTTAGAGGCTCCAGGATTAGCCCAAGTTGACTTGATCATACACGGCATCCTGTAAGGCTTCGAAGGTGCCATAATCCCCTCTCTCAGGTATTTACACATGTGTGATAATATGTATGACTATATATATATATATATATATATATATATATATGTATTTTATGTACTCTACTATGGAGCTAGCAACTATATTACCTCTGGGTGTGTAGATGACGTGCCAAATGTACGCTGCTGTTTATAATGTGTAATCTCAATTATAGTACTCTGATCTGGTCTTCTGTTTGTGTTTTTTATGGCCTAATAAAACTTTGTTTTCTAAGAAAAAAAAAAGCAAAAAACATGTCTCTCCAGTTTAGCAAAAAGGCTCTAAAAGCAGCTCATGATGGGGCATAAAACTAAACCAATTTCGAATTTGATGGCAGGAAGCCACTTTATCTTAAATGGTAAACCAGGACAGATTGCTTTCCTGATCAACAAGCCATGTGCTATGAGAAGGTTTTTGACCGATTAACATGTCTAGTTTTAGACAATAGGAAGCTTCGCGGAAGTCTGTGTGTTCAAGGAAGACATAAGAATTTGCCTTTTATTTGATCTAATCTAGGAAAAGCTACACTAGTGACAAATGAGCGTAGAAGTGGCTGCACCGTATGTTGTATTATCTTGTAGTGCTCTGTGTATAGGATGAATGATCTAGTTCCTGTAGTATTATAATGACCCTCAGGCCCGCAACCTCTGCTGCCTATATTTAACTTCTGTGAGTTTGGTAAAAGCAAATCTCAAATCTCAGCTTGAGTGATTGATGGACATATTATGATTCCATTCCGTAATCCACAACCTAGCTGAGTTATGTTGATGGATGATGTATTTGTTCTACAAGCTGAAGATAAAAGCCAAAAGCTGGGGTTCTTAGTAGACCACTATACCTTTACATATAACATTTAGCTGCTATAGGCTTTATTTGTTAAAATGTGTCTATAGGTTAGAACCATCTCAGGCAGGGAGTTGTTTCATAGCAGCCAATCTGATTTCAAGCTAAACTCCGTTTTACTCTCTTTGAGCACCCTCCACCAGCCTCCCCACAGTATTTTTTTATGATCACCTTTTCCAGATGTCTTCAAGATGGTCACATGGTGTAAGGGGTCCTCTTCCTCTTTAGATCTTCTCCAGTGGTGGGAGGTCCCCAATAATTGACACTGATATGATGACCTTATCATTGCTCTCTACATTACTGTATTTGAGTACACCCAGAGGATGTCCTCAGTCTTGCGGGTTAAATGATGCCCAGAAGAGTAAAGATGAGAATATTGGATGAATAATCATTGTTTTTTTTTTTTTGCAAACTAGCCTCATATCGAAAATGAAGAGGTCCCTAAACTTATGAAAATTCTTGTACAACAGAATAAAAACTTGGAAGCGATGTAATATATATTTATTGTATTTTCAGACAAAAACTGTACTGATTAAATGAAAATTGTTCTATCTGGTATCGTACGAGAAACGTTTTTGCACTTGTCTCTTCGATCAATTTCATACAAAAGCTGTGTACTAACGATCAGACTATCATATGTTCACTTTGAAAGTGGTATTTTTGTTATGATTTTCTAATCGTG